CAGAGGTAGATCSTGTGGGTGAGAGTGTGTGTGCAGAGAGTGAGCGTGAGCGGTGTATACAGGAATGCTCCTCCCATCACCCAAAGATCAGGAGTTGAATCTCTGTTGTTGGCAACCATCGCTGGGGTTGCCAACWGTGATGGTGGGGGAGAAAGCATAAAGATGTGGGCAGGGGAGAAGTCAGCAGCTGGCCTCAGCTCACCTCTCCCCAAACCTGCCAGCTCCAGCACAAACACAGAGCTTCRCCTCCAGCTCAGACGGTCTGGGCGCCAGACCTGGGAAGCCATTTTATGCAACAGCCCAGCCACCAGCTCAGTCCAACATCCAAGTCAAACAGCTTCTGGAGGAGGTGACAAGTGAGGGAAGCGGGGGAGGGGCCTTTGCCCCCCCCCCGCCCCCCCCACCCAAATCCATGCCCTGCCCAGAACCTCACCTCCTGATGCCTTTGGTTTCTCTGCCATGCAGTTTTATTTTCAGAAATGCCCCCTCCCACCGCAGTCAGACAAGTACCAACACATGAAATGGAGTCAGTGTTTCCCTGCGGGGAAAGAGGTTGGCACTGATGCAGGAGGAGGTGGAAAAGAAGGGAGGCTGTGTGGACTGGGAGTGTGCTCCTGGCTCCATCTGTGGTTTAAACTTCCACACTTCTCAGGGAATTGCTCCCACCCTCCCCACAGCTTCAAACCTGTTTCCACTTTCTAACAATAGTTGCTGGGGTCCGGGGCTGACCTGGCATTGACTGTGCTAAGTGCATTACACACATGCCTTAAACCCTCGCTGTGATCCTCTCGGTGATGGGGACACTGAATCCAAAGCTGGAACTTTGACTATTAGACGGAATGATCACAAATGGCTCAGGTATATGGGCAATGAAAACAGAACACCCAGAACAGAGAGACCCCACCTAGGATAAGTAAAGACCTAGTACCAGGAATACAGATGCAAGAACAAGGTTCCTCCAAGATACAGGTTAAGAGAAGCCAAATTCTGAGAAGCCTCACTATCTGCCATGTGTTTTTACATCCTGACTCCTATTTTGGGTCATGTGGGAAAATCCTATTTCTGTAGGTGGTGTGGTGAGGTTGGTTTCATAGGCTGGCTTGAGGGACCTTTTGGGACCATTTGCTCCAATGCATTGGTTTTACTGATCAGGAAACTGAGGTCTGGGCAAATGGACAGAAAATAGTGGTGSTAGAGTCTGCTCTCCAGTGTAGCCAACCCATCACCTCTGCTCCAAGCTTTTCCTCTTCTCTGACCATGAAGAGGACAGAAAGCCCTTAATTTTTTGCAGGCTAGGATTTTGGGCGAAAGAATGAGAAAGACGCATTCCTGGCTTGGCTTAAGCCTGGACACCCACTTCACAGCTTGAAATACTTGTGCTGTTTGTCACTCTAACATAGTAAGATGTTTTCCCTCCCAGCCTTTTTATTTGGGTGGGGGAGTAGAAAGGTAGGCAGGGTGGTCTGAAGGAAATACAGATACAAACCGACGGAATTTGGCTCTGGGGATTTTTGGAAAACAGACTGCTGGTTTGACTGTGGGCATCAGATACCCAACTGTGGGAGGGCAGGCTGTGCAGGCTCAGCTATCGTGGGGTGAGCGATCTAGAAGAATCCCAGTGGGGCAAGGAAGAGGCATGCCCCTCCCTACTGCCAGAGAGAAACTGAGGCTGGTTTCTCTCTGGATCCCTGTCACTCATCCCCTTTCAGTGTCCTTAGCACATGAGGTGTTGGTGGCCCTCAGCATCCCACCTCCTGATTTTCAAGGCCCACTTTGGGTTCCAAATACCAAGTTGATAAATGCTGGTCTGAAGAGGGAAACAAATGGTGACATCATAATAACCCCAGCATTTCCTAGAGATCATAGCTAGTCTTAAAAAATATTTTGGGGATATTTATCCCACTCTTCTTCCATTCTCAGAATCTGGTGTAACACATCTGGGTAAGGTAACATAAGTCTGAAACTATCCTGCCACATGACCTTGGATAAGTCACTTCACCTTTCACAGAGACCAGACTGCCGATCATCAATCACTAAAATGGGGATAATGCTTCCGATTCTGGCTCTATCAGGGAACTTTGTGTGTGTGTGTGTGTGTGTGTGTGTGTGTGTGTGTGTGTGTGGTGGTGGTGGTGGTGGTGGTGGTGGGGTGGCTCTGGAGACTGTATTCCATCATCTCCTGGAGGATGAAGGCTTAGTCTCTATAGGACCCCAGTGTAGGACATCTGAACAATATAACTGAGGAAAATATAGCTAACTGCTCACCTCCCTACCTGTGATAGTAACAGAAGAGGACAGAAGGAAAACAGGGGGCCTGGAGTGTGAAGTACTGGCTTAGTCTCTGTGATCCTGGGCAAATCACCCCCTCTCCCGTACTCTGCTTCCTCACTGTCAACAAGCGGACTTGAGTGCACAACCTGTAAAGTCATTCCCCAACCCTAAAACCACACACTTCCGGAGTGAGACATATCTGTTTCGAATGGCACAGCTAACCAACAGCACTTAGTCCAGACAGGGGAGCTCTAAATACAAGTCGGGTGGCAGGCTGGAGACAGTATCGACAGATTGCAGGCCAGCAGGCAACAGACTGGGTTGACATGGGGTGGCCACAGGCGCCTCCCCTCAGCCTCCTGCATATGCCACAGGGCAGATGGGGGTACGCAGGCACACTGTGGAAGTCCGTGCCCCCAGTCCCAATCCTTGATGCAGTCTAGCAGACAGCTGGAGATGACGGACAGACCAGCAGGGGAGAGACTGTACTAGGGAAAAGAGGAAAAATCCCCAAAGAGCAAGGGTGGGGTGGGGCTGGGCTCTCAGACATTCTTTTGTGGTGCCTGGAGTKGGGTCAGTGGAGGAAAACAAACCTGGCAGTGGGGTGGCTGCTAGGGCTGGAGGGGGTGCCCACTATAGGCAGGGTCTCCCTGAAGCAGGTCAAAGGTTGAACAAGGCACAGGGCACTAGAGCGTGTGTGGATGCCAGAAACAGCAGGTGAGTTTCTGCAGGATGCAGAACTGCCCCCACTTCACCCCAGGAATAGGATTAATCCTAGATTTGCTCTGAGGATCCTAGGGACCCCAGTGGCTGGTTGAGGGGAATAGCACATTTTGTTGTTGCTGTTAACAAGTCTCCACCAGACTTGTTAACACCAACAGCCATCTCTCTTGTGGGTGGCACAGGGGTTACTTTGACAAAACCTTTACTGCTTGCAGAGGGGCAAACACTGTCCATGATGTGTTCAGGAGATGTGACCCTCAGAACCAAGACACAGAGTCCTGGTGATTCCTGATTACAATCCTCGTTGGTCCCTCAACTCCCCAAGCAAAGATTGGGAGTGGACACTTTCCTTGTCTGTCACCTCTTTCAGGCTTCACATTTGTGGAGAGGCTAATTTGCAGAGTGGAGCAGGCACTGAGCCTCCTCTCCAGGTAAACGCCCATTCTCTGTGGCTCCGCCTTGCCCTTGGGTGGGCTGGTGGGGGTAGGGGCGCGAGGCCCAGGCCCTTCTGGGCGGGCCGTTGAGGGCACCTGATCTCTCCCGGAAATGCAGAAACGCAGGGCTCGTCCCACAAGAGGGGCCAATAGGCATCTCCCCCTCCTTTCCTTTCCCAACTCTCCCAGAGTTTCCACCAGTGAAGATAGTTATCGCTCTTAAAAAGAATCAAGACAAGCTAGTCTTTCAGGTAACTTGGAGAGCTCAGACATTCTCACCTCAGCTCAGAGTCAAAGTCTGGGAGAACTTGGGGTCCCGTGAAGTCCCTCCTCGAGGATGGAGGGGGATCACGACATCGCCCCTCTCCAGGGTAGAAGTAAGAACAGCTCTTTGCTGAGCCCTCCCTGCGCCGCCGAGTCCTTTAGAACGCCCGCAACCGCCCTTCCTCCAGACCCCCGACACTAGTGGAACCCAATCGGTCACTAACTACGCTGCCCGCCAGTCTTCCTCTCCCAGGGAGTTGAGTTCCCATTTGAGAGTGCTCCGTTTTCTCTGCCGCCTCCCCCTTTTGCACCCCGAGGGGTCCGGGGTGGTAACAGACACAAACCCCACCCCAAACCCTCGATGAGGGAGGGGGTCTAGGTTGGTCTGCGCACCCCAGCCAACCAGGACCCCCAGCTTCTCCAGCCCATTAGTTCCGACGAGCCCCCCACGAACATGCCCAGGAGTCCCGCCCGGGTCTGGCCCCGGCCGGAGAGTCAGCTGGCAGCCGCTGTGCCCTTTCTCTTCTCGCCCAGTCTGCCCGGCGCGGGCAGTGCCAGCTACTGGAACTCCCAGCTACCAGGCACCTCCGGCCGCGGACTGTGTCAGGGGCCGGGGAACAGGTGGCCCCAGAGAGGAGCGCACGACAGTCGCGCTCACTCACCCAGAAGATGAAGTTAAATCCGAAGAGCAGGTATTTGATGCACTTGGTACCTCCTTTCACCGGCATGGTGCAGGATGGATTGGCCTGGGTAGGATTGGTTTGGGACCGGGGCGTGCGCCGCAGTGGGGACGGGAGGGATCCGGCGCTGGACAGAGGTGCGCGAAGCTGCGGGCTGGCCTCGGGCTGCACTTTTAAAAAGTGCCACTCCTTACGGCGCGCGGCCCGCCGTGGTGCGCATGTGCCGTGGAATTCCGCCCCCATCGACCCCGCCTCCCGGCCCCACCTGCCCCGCCCACGCCCCGCGGCTGCCGGGCCCAGGTTCCAGGGAGGCCGGCCTCAGCCGCCCCGGAGTGCGGAGCAAACTCTCCCACCCGCCGCGGTGCCCGGCCCACGGAGTTGTCCAGACTCTCCTTCCCTCCGTCTTCCTCCTTCCTGCCCCATACCTAACAACCGTTCTGGGGTCTTTCCAGGACGCCATCTCCCCCGCTCCCCGCCACTTTTATCATGGAGTTATATGGAGGCCTCGCCCTTCCGGTTCTCATAGTCGATTCTGGGCTCTTGTCCTTCACTGGTAGATCCTTCCCGGGTCATCCAGGATAAAGGACCCTTACTAGGGCGGGCTGCAAGAATGCGGTTCCTGCTTTGACCTTGATCTGAAGGGAAACTGCCTGGCTTGATTTCTCGTTTGGGCATCTCCTTGCAGACCTTTACTCATTGAACGTATTCTTATTTGCCTCATCCTGTGGAGTAGGAGGAATTAGAAGCCCGCAGTCCAGGTAGGAAGACATTGGAGGCTTTTAGAAGTCATTATCAAATACCGATCACCGAATAGTAATATGGCCGAACTTCTGCTCTCTACTCCTCCACCCCACCCTCGCTCTGAGCGTTTCTCCTCTGCTCAAAAACTTTCTGTAGCTCCCTACATTCAGTGTCCTAAGTCAAAAATTTCCCATCTCATTCATGTCCTAGTACAGGATATTCGTGAGACTTTGTGCTACACCTGGTGCCCCACCCCCATTCTGCTTCACCTGGCTAGTGCTGCAGGTGTTGTATGCCCCTGGCTGGCTAACTGGCCCTGCCCCTTTCACTTGTAAAAATCCTATGACTCTTTCTTTACTTCTTTCCTGATTCTCATGATTGGGTGAGGAGATTCATCTTAATTCCTTTGCTTGTTTTTCAAAATGAAGTTTCCTTTAGTGTTCTTTATTATTACAAAAGTGAAGCATGCTCTTTAGAGAAACATCAGAAAATACCAAGAAGCAAAAAGACCATAACTCAAAATGTTGCTCAGCAGAAACAGCCACAGTTAGCATATCATAGTTCTTGCTTTGCTCTATTTATTATCATTAGACATGTCTCATTGATTTTTTTTTTTTTTTTTTAATGCTGCAGATGGAACTCAGGGCCTCCCAAAAGAAGAGATCTACCACTGAGGTACTTACTGTCTCATTGATTGATTCATTCATTCAAAAACATGTTTCCAAATCTACTTTATGTATTTCATTAGGGTATTTCATTAGGAGGAGGAGCTGTAAAAAAATGGACTAAATCCTATTTCTGTTCTGTAGGAGCTTGTCTGGTGCAGGAGAGAGACAGATAGACAGAAAAGGGAATGAGTGTGATATTTGGGATTGTGCAGATAGACTTGGGATCTCAGGCATCCAGAGGAGGGGACCCTGACCTAGTTGGGATGACTCAACTATCTCACAGAAATTTGCCATCAGGGAGAATCCAGGGTAAAGGCTGGGGCTGGAGCTCACAGTTGGTTGGAATAGGTGTTGGGGAGGTGAGGAAGAGCCCCAGAGAAGAGTCTGATTCCAGACTTTGCATTGGGATGTTAAGGGGCCACTGAAAGATTCAAACAGGATGTGGATAGGACAGGAGACTAGGCAGTGAGCTATATGAGGATAAGGACCATTGTTTGTATCTCCAGTCCTTGGTTCAGAGTTGGACAGAAAATTGAGATGTTGTGTTTGCAGAGGTGCAGTTGGGTAATGTGAGGGGGCACAGGGAGATGAAAGATGAACTGAGAATTGGGTAGAGATCTGTTAGGAGGGTGTTGAATAGTTCAGGTGAAAGAGAGTGAGAGTTGAAGGATGGTGGGGAAATGGGATGGAAAAATCTGACAGGGTGGAAGCAGGAGGGAAGAAATCAGAGCAGCAGAAGTCAGATTGTGGAGGGTTTCATTCACTTGTTCGTCCTGCATTTCTTTTCTTTTTCTTTCTTACTTTTTTTTTTTTTTGGTAAAATGGGGATTGAACCCAGGCCTGATGTACCACTAGCTACAACTTCAGTCCCTTTTATTTTTATTTTGTAACAGGGTCTTGCTAAGTTT